ATATCTCTCTTTTAAACGGTTCTCTCCCTCCTCTGTTTCAGTGCAGTATACATTATTGAACCCATCTTACTCAGTCTCTCCCCAACCCCAAGTACAGTCCCTTTTTGTGTAGAAGGTGACATTCACTGGTTTTAAAAATGAGGATATGAAAAGGGAGGTCTGGTGGCCTAGTGGAAAGAAGCTGCACTGCAATCCCAAAGGCACACAGTTCAAATCCACCAGATCCTCTGCTGGAGAAGGAAGGGTAATCTCCTGTGCCAGTCAGAACTGACTCGACAGTACACAAGGAAAATAAAATGAGGATATGAATAGGTTTTTGGGGTCATTTCCCAATCTCCTCTACCATAGCATTCAATTCTTTAGTTTTGCTTTGGATTCGTGGGTTTCTGACTCACAGTAGATCCTCAAAACAAAACAAAAACAAAAACAAAACAAAACAACACAACACAACAAAACAAAACAAAACAAAACAAAACAAAACAAAACACATTGCTATCAAGTCAAACCAACTCAGCTGCATCTCTAATGGGTTTCTGAGGCTGTAAATCATGTGGGAGGAGACTGTCCATCTTTCTCTTGAGGAGTGGCCAGTGGAATAGAACCACCAGATGGGCGTGATTTGTAAGTTAGCAGCACATTTCCTTATAGATTAAATGCCCTACCAAACTCCCTACAGAGGTTGAAGCTCAGGGAAATAGCACCTGAGATAAGAAAGCCCTGAATTCTTAGTGGGAACTGGCTTCCTTGACAATGCGAAGCAATGACAGAACCAATTCTGGAAAGACCAGGCAGACACACATGTAGTGGAGCATGCAGACCACTGCCCAGCGCTGGCACCTGCTCACTTCCCACCCTGGTGCTGTCTCCTCCTCTAAGGTCACAGCAGTGACAACGGAGAGCTGGTGGGCACGAGGATCTGTGGAAAAGCTCTTTCAGGCACTAACCAGCAATGCAGAAAGCACCTCCCTCACCCTCTTTCTTGTTAACAAGTGGGCTATGCTTACATCCACTCGTCGACTCTGTCAGACAAATTCCTAAAGAGCTGGCAGAAACCTCGAGTTTCAGCTTGTCACCACATCATCCTTATGCAAAATCAAACCTGTGTGATTTATGACATTTCCATCTCTTTAAAGGGATTGCACTTTCATAACAAGTCCTAGGGAACTTTCTTATTTCTCCAAGGCACTGCTCTTTCTTACCCTGTTCTAACTGCTACCAGTCATAAATGCCTACCAGGGACATGCAGGCCTGGCATTGAGCTACATCATAGAGGGAAAAGTAATTTTGTAGAATGACTTTATGAAATGGGATCTAATTATTAATTTGGAGATAAATATATTAGGAAGCCCATAATACATTTTACTAGTAAATTATTAAAGCACAGAATGCATATTAAAAAGAAAATTACTTGCAAACAGTTGGCATTTTTGTCATTATTAGTTTATTAGATAATTAAAAGTTAGGATGATTATCATATCACTGACTAATAACTCTGAGGCTTTTGACTACTTCAATCTGCCTTTCCTAATACTGATTTTCTCAAGAGCAGATTAAATGTCTTGTGGATAGCCTTTGTGATACTTGCTCAAAAGACAGAGATGTTAAAGCATATCATACATTTAACTAACACTAGTCATCTCTCTGGGCTTCCATAGGTTCCTATGGGCTATTGTATTGTGGTGTTTTTTTAAAAAATGGTAT